CTTTCAGCGAGATATCGACACTTGCCGTGGCCCCAAGGTCCACCTAGCCTGGCACAAGCACCGTGGTGATGTCACCGCCACTTAGTGGCGAACCGGCGGTTGTTGTTGTTGTGGTGTTGTGTTTGTGTGTGTCAAATGGTGTCTGTGTGTGATGTATGGCGCTGAGTCCTGGGTCACGTACCGTCGTCACCTGAGTCTCCTCGAGCGTTTCCATCAGCGCTGCCTCCGCACAATCTTCAATATTCACTGGAGTGACTTCGTCGCCAACACTGAAGTCCTCAAGTCAGCGAAGGTCATCAGCATCGAGGCCATGGTCCTCAAGACACAGCTTCGTTGGGCAGGGCACATCGCCAGGATGGAGAACCACCGCTTGCCTAAGATCGTGCTGTATGGGGAACTGTCCTCTGGCCATCGCGACATAGGGGCACCACGAAAGCGATACAAAGACTCCCTGAAGAAGTCCCTCACTGCTTGCTGCATCGATCACCGTCAGTGGGCAACACAAGCAGCTGATCGCAACTCCTGGCGGCACACAGTCCACCAGGCCACCTTCTTCTTCGAAGATACCCGCAGGGCCCGTATGGAGGACAAAAGGAGAAGGAGGAAGAACCATGATCCCTCAGCACCCATCCCAGATGAGACCTATACTTGCAGCTGTTGTGGCAGGACCTGCTTGTCCCGCATAGGCCTCTTCAGCCACCAGCGTGCCTGCAGAAGACGTGGATGTCCTTCCTAGATCTTCGTTCGCGAAGCCAAGCCATGATGATGATGTGATGGAGATAATGCACGTGCTGGTTGGTACAGTGCTTTGCGCTACGATCTTCATAAGATTGCGCTACGATCTTCTGCGAAGGACCATATCCACAAACGTCGGACTTTACCGTATATATCGTTTCCTTTTAGGGGAGTCGTGGGTGGGGGAGGGCAGTGTTACTGTTGTGGTGTTGTGTTGCCTTTCCGCTTAGCTGGTGCTAAACATCAGTCGGGATGTTTATAGCTGCACCTCACCTGGATATCGCCTCGGTCGACTCAGCCTTAAATCAGCAGCACACCTTTGCGGCTTGACCGAATTTAGCAGTGGCTTGGCTGGTTACCACTCTATAGGGAAACACTCCGTATCATTTTCCTTTGAAAGTATTTGCGTGAAAGTATGCAACAGTAGGGGAGAGACAAAGGCGGCCGGTTGCGGGCCTGGTTTCACCAACCCGCTGTGTGTTTGTGTTTTGGCCCCAATAGGTGCTCGCTAACATCACTCGGCCCACACGCGACGACGTTTTTTTTGTGTCAGCGGCCGTTCTGGATTCCACTCCCACGCGCGAGGCCTCGCCCTCCCGTCGGGGAAAACCACCACGGGTTTAGGCAAATTAGGTGGAACACACACACAGAGTACACACACCTACACATACACCTACACACACACCTACACACACCTACACACACATAGTACACACACCTACACACACAGAGTACACACAGATAGAGTACACACACCTACACACAGAGTACACACACACACACCTACACACACACACACCTACACACACAGAGTACACACACCTACACACACCTACACACACACCTACACACACACAGAGTACATACACACAGAGTACACACACCTACACACACAGAGTACACACACACCCCTACACACACACCTACACACACAGAGTACACACACCTACACACACAGAGTACATACACACAGAGTACACACACCTACACATACACACCTTCACACACAGAGTACACAAACACACCTACACATACACAGAGTACACACACCTACACACACACACCTACACACACATCTACACTCACACACCTACCTACACACACATACACACAAAGTACACACCTAAACCTACACACACACCTAACACACCTACACACACACACGCCTACACACACACACCTACACACACCTACACACACACCTACACACACATACACACACCTACACACAGCTACACACCTACACACACACAGTACACACACATACACAATTACACACACCTACACATACACACACACCTACACACACACACCTACACACACACCTACACACACACCTACACACACACACCTACACACACACACACCTACACACACACACCTACACACACACACCTACACACACACCTACACACACACCTACACACACACACCTACACACACATACACACACCTACACACACACCTACACACACACACCTACACACACATACACACACCTACACACAGCTACACACACACACCTACACAGTGTACACACACCTACACAAACACACACCTACACACACAGAGTACACACACACACAGAGTACACACACACAGAGTACACACACCTACACACACACACCTACACACACCTACACAGTGTACACACACCTACACACACCTACACACACACACCTACACACACCTACACACACAGAGTACACACACCTACACACAGAGTACACACACACAGAGTACACACACACAGTGTACACACACCTACACACACACACCTACACACACCTACACACACACACACCTACACACACACAGAGTACACACACACAGTACCACCCTCCCCCATCCCTCCCCGTCAGGTGAGGCTGCTTCAGGGGTGGAATTCGACCACCGGGTTGTGTTTTTTCTTCCCGCCAACTCGCCAAGTGAAACTCAAAAAAAGTTCGGACCCCGCAATCGGTTCCCTCTCACGCCACCGGCAGAGCGGCGTGCTTTGGTCTCCTCTTCCACTTTGAGCCGAAGTGTTTGGAAGAGGTGGGCTGACCCACGCACACTTCGCCGTTCAAAACAACGATCTCCCAAATCCACTTACACACCTGTGTGTGTCTGTCAGAGAGTGTGTGTCTGTAGGTCAGTGTGTGTGTCTGTGTGTCAGTGTGTTAGTGTGTGAAGCTGTGTGTCAGTGTGTGTTTCTGGGTGTCTGTGTGTGTGTCTGCGTGTTACTGTGTCTGTAGGTCAGTGTGTGTGTGTCTGTGTGTCAGTGTGTTAGTGTGTGAAGCTGTGTGTCAGTGTGTGTTTCTGGGTGTTTGTGTGTGTGTCTGCGTGTTAGTGTGTCTGTAGGTCAGTGTGTGTGTGTCTGTGTGTCAGTGTGTTAGTGTGTGAAGCTGTGTGTGAGTGTGTGTTTCTGGGTGTCTGTGTGTGTGTCTGCGTGTTAGTGTGTCTGTGTGTCAGTGTGTGTGTGTGTCTGTAGATCAGTGTGTTCGTGTGTGAAGCCGTGTGTCAGTGTGTGTGTCTGTGTGTCAGTGTGTCAGTGTGTGTGTCTGTCAGTGTGTGTCTCTAGGTGTGGTGTTGGCCACCCACCCCCTCGTGTGCTGTGCTGGCCTTCATAGGTGCTCGCTAACAGCACTTGCCCCTACAGTCTGTTCAGGCTATACAGGGGATCTTTGTCTCTGGGTGTCTGTGTCTGTATGTCAGTGTGTTAGTGTGTGAAGCCGTGTGTCAGTGTGTGTGTCAGTGTGTGGCACTGGGGAGACAAAGGCGGCCGGGCGTGGTGGCTGGCCACCCACCCCCTCTGTGTGTGTGCCACAGTGCCGGTGGCCTTCATCGGTGCTGCTGCTACTCGCTGAAAGAACTTGCCCCAACCAGTCTGTGAAGGCTACACGGGGAATCTTTGTCTTTGTTCAGGTGTGCTTATCCAGGTATGCGTGTAGGTGTTCCATGGTTTGTCTGTCGTTTGTAGGTGTGCGTGTGTGTGTTGGTAGATGTGCGTGTGTGTTTGTAGGTGTGTGTGTGTGTTTGTAGGTGTGTGTGTTTGTAGGTGTGCGTGTGTGTTTGTAGATGTGCGTGTATGTGTTTGTAGGGGGGTGTGTTTGTAGGTGTGTGTGTGTGTGTTTGTAGGTGTGTGTGTGTTTGTAGGTGTGTGTGTGTTTGTAGGTGTGCGTGTGTGTGTTTGTAGGTGTGCATGTGTGTGTGTCGGTGTATGTGTTTGTAGGTGTGCGTGTGTGTGTTTGTAGATGTGCGTGTATGTGTTTGTAGGGGAGTGTGTTTGTAGGTGTGTGTGTGTTTGTAGGGGTGTGTGTTTGTAGGTGTGTGTGTAGGTGTTTGTAGGTGTGTGTGTGTTTGTAGGTGCTTGTGTGTTTGTAGGTGTGTGTGTGTGTTTGTAGGGGTGTGTGTTTGTAGGTGTGCGTGTGTGTGTAGGTGGGCCACTTGGGCCACTCGAGTAAGTTCAGACGCGCCACCATCACCCAGACACACCCCACCGCTCACACCGTTACCCGCCACCCTTTGACCCCACTACCCAATAACCACGTGCCAACGTCAGCCAACGTTAGCCAACGTTGGGGTATGTTTAGCGCCGTTGGTCCAACGTTGCCGCGACGTTCCACGTTTACTGGGTTAAGATTCCTGCGAGAGGTGAGGCAGCTAAAGAGGCGGCTTTGATGGTCGTGGTTGGTGGTGGTGGTTGTGCTGATTGGTTGTGCTGGTTGGTGGTGGTGGTTGTGGTGATTGGTGGTTGTGGTGGTTGGTGGTGGTGGTTGTGGTGATTGGTGGTTGTGGTGGTGGTTGGTGGTGGTGGTTGTGGTGATTGGTGGTTGTAGTGGTTGGTGGTGGTTGTGGTGATTGGTGGTTGTGGTGGTTGTGGTGGTGGTTGGTGGTGGTTGGTGGTGGTGGTTGTGGTGGTGGTTGTGGTGATTGGTGGTTGTGGTGGTTGTGGTGGTGGTTGGTGGTGGTTGGTGGTGGTGGTTGTGGTGGTTGGTGGTGATGGTGGTTGGTGGTGGTGGTGGTTGTGGTGGTTGGTGGTGGTGGTTGGTGGTGGTGGTTGGTGGTGGTTGGTGGTGGTGGTTGTGGTGGTTGGTGGTGGTGGTGGTGGTGGTTGGTGGTGGTTGTGGTGGTTGGTGGTGGTGGTTGGTGGTGGTGGTTGGTGGTGGTGGTGGTTGGTGGTGGTGGTTGGTGGTGGTCGTTGGTGGTGGTTGGTGGTGGTGGTTGGTGGTGGTGGTTGGTGATGGTGGTGGTTGGTGGTTGTGGTGGTTGATGGTGGTGGTTGGTGGTGGTTGGTGATGGTGGTTGGTGGTGGTGGTTGGTGGTGGTTGGTGGTGGTGGTTGGTGGTGGTGGTTGGTGGTGGTGGTGGCGACCGAGTGGTGGTCTAGCGGTCAGCGCTGCAACCCCGGTGACCCGAGTTTGATGCCCGCTCACGGCCAACACCAAGTGACGATTTTTTTTTTACCGGTCGGTCCTGCGCCTTCCCTAGGTCGACTCAACCTCAAATGAGTACCTGGTGCGGTGCCTAAAAAAAGGCGGCCGGGCATGGTGCTGACCACCCACCCCCTCGTGTGTCGCTCCGGCCTTCATAGGTGTTCGCTAACAGCACTTGCCCCTACAGCACGTTAAGGCCACACGGGGGACCTTTGTTTTTGGTGGCGACCTTCGGAGTGGTGACGAAACACGGTGTGAAGATTAACCCCTCTCAGCAATGCGGAAATCTACGGTGCACAAAGCACAAATTACGAGTTGTTTTGTATGTCTACATACATCATGTATGTTGTTTAACTGCGAATAACCAGACCAATAATAGTAATATTCATCGTAATGTATATGAATACGTTAGCCTAGCCCCTACCCGTCTCTCTCTCTGGTCTTCGCAGCTTTATTAGCTCACAAGTGACGAGATCGCATTCATCCCTCTGTTCAAGACAGCGACAGGAGGATGAGGATGGCTCCACGATTCTGACAGTCGCCTGACGCGGCTGGTTGTTGTTGTAGTCACCGGTTGTTGTTGTTGTTGTAGTCAGCGGCGAAACGTCACATTGTAAATGGTGTCGTGGGTTGTATCTGCCAACACACAGCCGGTGTGCTGTACTAGTAACGAGTTGGCAAGTTTTGTTTAGCGTGACAAATCTTACTAATTGGCCGTGGCGGGTGGTGGCGGGTTTAACGACACATTAACGCGATCTAACCCCCCCCCCCCCACCAAATAAAAACTCTAGTGGATGATACTGGTTGAGAAAGCCCTGCTACTTACTACTACTACTACGACCTGTTAATCTCACACAACGATAACCCCAGGGTCTCGCAGACTCCAGTCCTCACGGCCCACCACTACCACCACTACTACCACCACTATACCACCACTACCACCGCCACCATTACCACCACTATACTACCACTCATACCACTACCACCACTTTACCACCATTACCACCACTATACCACCACCACTACCACCACTACCACCACTATACCACCATTACCACCACCATTACCACCACTATACCACCACTTATACCACTACCACCACTACCACCACTATACCACCACCACTACCACCACTACCACCACTATACCACCACCACTACCACCACTACCACCACTATACCACCACTACCACCATTACAACCACTATACCACCACTTATACCACTACCACCATTACCACCACTTTACCACCACTATACCACCACTATACCACCATTACCACCACTACCACCACATCCACTACCACCACTATACCACTACTACCACCACTACCACCACTATACCACCACCACTACCACCACATCCACTACCACCACTATACCACCACTACCACCACTATACCACTACCACCACTACCACCACTACCACCACTATACCACCATTACCACCACCACCACCACTACCACCACATCCACTACCACCACTATACCACCATTACCACCACTACCACCACATCCACTACCACCACTATACCACTACTACCACCACTACCACCACTATACCACCACCACCACTACCACCACATCCACTACCACCACTATACCACCACTACCACCACTATACCACTACCACCACTACCACCACTACCACCACTATACCACCATTACCACCACCACTACCACCACATCCACTACCACCACTATACCACCATTACCACCACCACCACTACCACCACATTCACTACCACCACTATACCACCACTATACCACTACCACCACTACCACCACTATACCACCATTACCACCACTACCACCACATCCACTACCACCACTATACCACCACTACCACCACTATACCACCACTATACCACCACTACCACCACTATACCACCACCACTACCACCACTACCACCACTATACCACCACCACTACCACCACTATACCACCACTACCACCACTATACCACCACTACCACCACCAAAGACGGTCCCTGCAACGCGCGCTTTCAGACGCGCTGCTTCTGCGACCGTCTGGAACGCTTCTTCCTTCGGATATTCGGAAGCCACTTGGAGCTGTGGCACTTTTAAATCATCATCATCATCATCATCCAGATTGACAAACTCATTCCTTTACAACTGCTTCTTGTGTTTAGTTTGTTGTCCTTCCCCCGCACATACGATGAGTGCGGTTGGCTACGTACGGTGCGAAATAAGTTCTACGCTACGTCATTCAGCGTTGTGCCAACTTACTCCCCATTCAGACACTGCCAAGGATCGATCAACCCGCTGCGCGCGCCCGATGATTGATAATCGTCGCCCACGTGACTCGCTAACCAATTAACGCTGTAGGCGTCACGTGACACAAACACGTGTACACACACACTGAGTTCTCAATTGTGAACACATTCCTGCGGAGGGAGCTGGTAGGAACGTTGGGTTGCTCGGTCAATGGCCAGGGTCAACGGCGGCGTGGTGTATTCCGCAAATATGCCCGACTGTGAGGGCGGGCACAAGCCGGTGTGAGTAGGTTAAACGTTGAGTTTTATAAGGGCACCACGAGGTGACGAGCCCCTCCACCACCCAGCCCCACCCCTCCCACCCCCCACCCAGCCCCTCCCTCCCCACCCAGCCTCTCCCCACCCTCCCCACCCAGCCCCTCCCACCCCCCACCCAGCCCCACCAAGCCCCTCCCCACCCAGCCCAGCCCCTCCCCTCCCCACCCTAACCCCACCCCTCCCACCCCCCACCCAGCCCCTCCCCACCCTCCCCACCCAGCCCCTCCCCTCTCCACCCAGCCCCACCCCTCCCATTTTTGGATGCACGACGGACGGACGGACACAATAATCCCCTGTGGGCTGGTGTAACCAGGAGGTCCCTACCAGTAAAATTTGAATTGGCTCTCTCAACGCAGACAACCTTGAACGTCTCGTGAGTAGAGAGTCAGGCTCGATTCATACAATGCTGGCAAATCGTCACGGTCGCGAAATGTTAACAACCTCGCCTGGTATATAGGAGGTCGTGCCTTCCATCCCGACCCTGACGCCTGCTGTGTATTTGGAGTTTGCGCGTGTCTCTCTTTCTCCCCGTGGTGGCGTGGATTTTTCTCCGGAACCTACGGTTTTTACCCTCCATGTTTTGTATTTTGGATGCTATAAATATCCACACGATGATAAGCCGTCGTTTGCGGTGGTTAGGTCGCCTCTGAACAAGACCTCACGTATAGCTCAGTATTGCCTTTGACCTCGTAGAATAAAACAAATAATTGTTATCGGCAGTGGGCCCCTTTCTCTGCTCAATGTGGGTCCTTGTCCAATGCAGCGTCGTATAATGTAATCGAGTTTTGTATTTTTGTGATACGCTATGAACACCCTCTGTGGTTATTCTGTTGTCGGACTCGATCGGCTCAAGCCCGCGCTCATCATTGTTGGCTTCTCTCTGGACAGCTAACGGCGCTTGGCCAGAACATTTGCGTTCGTGACTTTGTTGTTTCTTTAAAAAAAAATTCTAACAAGTATAACCCGTAAAAACAAAGTTTTTCACTATTAATTCTTTATATGCGTGGCGGCTAGAGTCCTCTCGTCCTCTGGCTAGAGATGGCTGCCACCTGTGGGTCAGATGATTGCATGGCAGCATTAAGCAATTGGTAATTAAATATCATTTTTGTTTTCCTAAAAAGTGTAAAATTTTGGAAAAAAAATTTCACGAAAATTAATTGTCACGCACAACGAGTCTGCGTGGAAAATGTCAGCTCGATTGGATCACGGGAAGTGGGTTAAAAAACGACCGAAAGATTTGCACGGTCGTAAGCGCGCAAGCAAGTGAACTTAATATAAAGGATTTAAAAATAACAGAGTATGACGGGATCACATCGCAAGCGGCCATCGCTCCGCTTTGTGTGTGAATCTGGCGACCTGAGTTCCAATTCCCCGGCGATACGTCAGCCACTGGCAACGTGGAATGTCAAATCTCTCTCTCTCTGCGGGCGCTGATTGGCCGAGACACTTTGAACTCCGCGCGCCCAGTGAGACGAGTGAGACGTCGCCGCGCTCTCCAGGAAATTATGTCAACGCAGTGCCCTGCCCCCCCTACTGCCCCCCACTGCCCCCCACTACCCACTGCCCCCCCCCCACACGCCCCCCAATGCTCCCCCTCCCCCCACTGCTCCTCCACCCCACTGTCCCCCCTCACTGCTCCTCCCCTGCCCCCACCGCTCCCCCTACACCCCACCACTCCCACTGCTCTCCGCCTGCCCCCCCCCCCCCCCACTGCTTCCCCCCACTGCTCGACACTACCCCACCCCCCACTGCTCCCCCTCCACCCCCCAAATGCTCTCCCTAAAAACCTTAAATGTTTCCTTCCACCGCTCCCCCCCCCCCCCACTGCTCCCCCCCCACTGCTCCCCCCCCCCACTGCTCCCCCCCCACTGCTCCCCCCCCCCCCACTGCTCCATCTATGCTCCCACTCTGCTTCCTAACTTGCTCCCCCACGCTCCCATTCGCTCCCATTCGCTCCCATCCTGGTCCCCTTGCAGCCTCCCCTGACCCACCCCCCCCACCCCGCCCCACCCTGACCCCCCCCACCCCGCCGATCCTCCCGCCTCCTGATCCCCCCGCCCCCCTGATCCCCCCCGCCCCCCTGATCCCCCCGCCCCCTGCCATCCTGCTTCCTCCTCTGCTCCCCTGGCTCTGCTCCCAGAACATCCCTCGCTCCACTCTCTGCTCCCTTCCCTGCTCCCCCCACCTGGATCTTCACTCCCAGGACATCCCTCGCTCCACTCTCTGCTCCCTTCCCTGCTCCCCCCACCTGGATCTTCACTCCCAGGACATCGCTCGCTCCACTCTCTGCTCCCTTCCCTGCTCCCCCCACCGGGATCTTCACTCCCAGAACATCCCTCGCTCCACTCTCTGCTCCCTTCCCTGCTCCCCCCACCGGGATCTTCACTCCCAGAACATCCCTCGCTCCACTCTCTGCTCCCTTCCCTGCTCCCCCCACCTGGATCTTCACTCCCAGGACATCCCTCGCTCCACTCTCTGCTCCCTTCCCTGCTCCCCCCACCTGGATCTTCACTCCCAGAATATCCCTCGCTCCACTCTCTGCTTCCTTCCCTGCTCCCCCCACCTGGATCTTCACTCCCAGAACATCCCTCGCTCCACTCTCTGCTCCCTTCCCTGCTCCCCCCACCTGGATCTTCACTCCCAGGACATCGCTCGCTCCACTCTCTGCTCCCTTCCCTGCTCCCCCCACCTGGATCTTCACTCCCAGGACATCGCTCGCTCCACTCTCTGCTCCCTTCCCTGCTCCCCCACCTGGAACTTCACTCCCAGAATATCCCTCGCTCCACTCTCTGCTCCCTTCCCTGCTCCCCCCACCTGGATCTTCACTTCAAACTTTAGTTCCTTTTTTTCCACCTGAAGACGATCGCTTGTGTTGCGATCGAAACGTCGTGGGTTTTTGTTTATTTTTTTTGCATTAATTTTGAATCGATCTACGTGACTTTACCGAAAGACCCAAAGAATATGAACCCCTTGAATCTGATCGGAGTCTTTATCGAAACTCCCTTACACCACCACCACCACCCACATCTCACCACCGTCCACTCGTAAATCTCAACTCCCCTGCCCAGGAATTGCTCACCACAAAGGGGGGAGGGGGGGTGAGAAATTCCTGGAAAGAGTCAGTCGCAAACACCGTGCACACGCACGTGTAGAACTGTATACGCGTTCACACGTGTGTGTGTGTGTGTACCTGGAGACGGCATGTGCACATACACTTTCACGTGTGTGTACCACGCGTGTGTGTGTGC